TTACATGTATGTGTGATTATACATGCACACTTAATAAAATCAAAGTTATGATTACTTTTCATCCTATTGTTATAGAAAAATATGAATAGTTAACAGATAACCCAGGGACTGTCATGTGAGGCATAGTGGGTTAAGTTGCTGCCTGTAATGCTGCATCCCATATGAGTGCCAGTTCAAGTCCCAGCTGTTCCACTTCCGATCCAGCTCCCTGCTAAAGGCCTGGGAAAGCAGTGGGAAATAGTCATGGTGTTTGGGATCCGGCCACCCATGTGGGAGACCTGGAAGCTCTGCTTTGGCCTGGCCCAGCCTTGGCCATTTCAGCCATATGGAGAATGAACCAGCAAATGGAAATTTGTGTGTGTGTGTCTGTCTCTCCCTCTCTGTAAATCAGAAATATCACACTGCCATTATTTAAAATGATGGCATCTTAAAACAACCTCTTTGTATATTGACGGGCCTCATTATATTTTTTTGTTAGAAACTGAGAGGATGAATATGCTTATCATTTGCCTGAAGCAGCCTGTTGTTATCAGCAAGAAGGAGGTGATGAGAATAGAAATCCACTTTGACTTAGAGCTCACCGTATCACAAGCTGCCATTCAAGCCTTAGGAGAAGACAAACAGGTAGCAGATTTAATTCTTATTATTTGAAAATGCGTTCATGTCTCTTACATTTCCTTGTTGACTTTTGATCGATGTGAATGTTGGCTCTCAAAATCCTTGTTCTTAGTGCCCTGTGAAGAGTTGAGTGTTCTGAGTTCTGATCCCACTTCTTCCTTTTCCTGTGTCATTCTTACCTGTGTAGCACTCAGGCCCTCCTAATGGGCCTCAAAGTGCTAATTCCCTTTTCTGTGCACTGTGGGAAGCTTTTCTGGGGTAACATCACCTCTCCACCACTTCCTGAGGTCCCAAGGACATTCATTATGGTTCTCTTGGCACTTCTCTCTGCTTCTCCTGTTCTTGGGTTGAATTATTAGGAATAGGATTTCTTTATTTTTTAAAGATTTATTTATTTGAAATTCAGAGTTACAGAGAAATCTATCTGCTTATCCACTCCCCAAATGGCCAGAGTGTGTCCAGTCCGGAACCAGGAACCAGGAACCAGGAGTTTCTTCTAGGTTTCCTTCATGTGTGCAGGGGCCCAAGTCCTTGGGCCATCTTCCGCTGCTTTCCTAGATGCATCAGCAGGGAGCTGGATCAGAAGTAGAACAGCCAGGACTTAAATGGGTGCCCATTTGGGATGCCAGCACCTTAGGCTGTGGATTAACCCTCTGTGCCACAGCACTGGCTCCAGGAATAGGATTTCTTGGAGATTTTCAAAGTTCTATCTATTGGTCTTGCCTTGAAGAAAGATAGCTGGGGTTTCCATCTCTGTCTAGGATTCCTATGTCCAAGAACAAGCCTTAATCTATCACAGATGACAGCAGTGCAAAGACATTTGTGACAGGAAGACCTGCGGTATGGTGGTAATGGCCAACTGGAGTTGAACAAAGAAGTCAGAGACCTGAGAGAGCAAGTCTTGGCCAATTTCCTTTTGTTTTGAATTGTATGTGAAGGCATTTTATACACAATAAAGGGTCCTTGAATATGTACTAAAGACTCACCTTGAATGAAGAGATCATTTCACGGATGAGAATGAGAAATAAGTTACAGGAGAACCAATCACGTAAGCTCCTCCCCCGATCACACTGTGTGTGAATTGGACTGCCGGATACGTTTACCTTTTCCCTCAAACCATATCAGTGTCCATGTGTTTCCACACTTCACGAAATGAATAAAATGGTTTGGAAGAGAATGGAAACTTGTGTGTGGTTAAGCCACAGTTCCTAGCACTGAACTCCTCGAGAAAGAAATTGGAATCGAGGATCCTACAGCTGGGAGCTTGATACAGACTTGTCAGAACAGACTCCGTTCCTGAGTGCAACAGGGATTAGAAATAACCAAGAGGGTTAGACGTGGGCCAGAGAAGAGACTGTGAAGATACGAGGGGAGAGAAGTTAAGAGCAGGTACCAGTCAGCCAGCACTGGACTTGGAGGGAGGGGGTATGGAAGAACCAAAACCAGTATAGTCCTACAAGAGAGGAGAAACTGAAGACCAGCCTCTTCTCATTCATCACTGTGCTGTGTTCTAAGCTTTAAACTTTCCTGGACATTTTTAAAGGCTACTTTTAAAATTATGGCTTATTTGCTTTTATTAGAGACAAATCTTCCACCCACTGGTTCATTTCCCAGTGATGTCTGCAGTAGCCAAAGTTGGAGCAGGCTGAAGCCAGGAGCCCAGAGCTTGGTTCAGGTCCCCCATGTGGGTTGCAAGGACCCAAGCACTTGAGCCATTACTGCTGCCTCCCCAGGTGTGCATCAGCAGGAAGCTGGGTGGGAAGTGGAGCAGCCTGCACAGGTGACTGCTTTTAAAGGTCACATGGCTTTGGGCTTGTGTTTCAGGTGTTGCCAGACCAGATGAAAACCTCCCAGGAAATTCCTTCTAAATTTGAGAAAGATGACACTGGGGTTCTTAGTAGCCACGATGGAGAGGCAGGTATGTGGGGAAGTGACAAAACTCTGACTGAACAATGATGAAAGCTAGCTTGGAAGAAGTCACTGAACACCCAGCATCATATCAGTTTGAGCATGATAGTGCCCCTGGAGAAGATCTGCTCAGAGCCTGGAATCATTTCCCCCACTTCAATATGTATTTCCTCTGGGTCCATTGGAAATGACAAAGGAGAGCAAATGCTGAGGGTAGCAGGGAGCAGGAGGTGGGGTTTGAGAGTCTTGTCTTCCCTCCAAGTCAGCCTTGGTCTAGATTGGACACATCTTTTCAGTTATGTTCCATGGTTGGTTTTTCGGATTTGCCATTTGAGGCAGGACCTAATTACCAGCTCTTACCAAAGAATGGTACAGTGCCCGAGGTGTGAAATCCGTGACGGGCAATCCAGTATGCAGTGTAATGCATGCTTATGTTTTTAAAATTGTTTTTGTGCATGCTAATATTATGTGACATTCTTTTCTCTCTCTTGGTTTTAAAGATTATTTGTAATTTTCAAGAGTTAGGGAGAGATTCAATCTGCTGGTTCACTACCCAGATGGCCACAATGGCCACCATTGGCCTACACTGAAGACAGGAGCTTCCCTTAGATCTCCCATGTGTGTGGCAAAGATCCAAGCACTGGGGGTATTTCCCACTATATTTCCTAGGTCATCAGCAGGGAGCTGGATGGGAAGTGGAGTAGCCCATATGGAGTGCCAGCATTGCAGGTGGTGGCTTTACTTGCTATGCCACAATGCCAGTCCCATTCTTCTCTCTTTGTGCAGAGCAGGCAGAAGAATCCACCAACCAGGTGAAAGCCATGATTGCTGAAGATGACCGTTGCCTAATAACTCTCCCAATTAATGACAATTCCCAGCTGCCTGTGAGTATGGGGGTGTTGGGAGCCAGCGGGATCTGGGTCTACAGGGATGGTGATAGGAGGAAGCTGCCTCTGCTTACAAGTAGGACATTTTTTTCTGGCCAAACTATGAATGTTTTGAGCCTCCCTTTCTGTAGATGAGTTTTGCCTACTGGGTTCTTGAGTGCTCTCCTTTCCTTCAATGTGGCTTTGCTACAAAATGCATGACTTGGTTGTCCTCTGCCTCATCCCTTCATTGGGATCTGGACACTGAATGTCTGAAACTCACATAGAGAAGAGTATGAATGTGCTGTCAGGATTTTGTTGTCACAAACACAGGATTTTTCTTTCACATATATTTATTTTTAAGTACTGGGAAACTGCTTCTACAGCAGTGCCAATGCTGTGAGATGTTTTGTCTCGCTTTTCTGAGAGCGGATATGAATTTTTTGAAATAGCTTACAGCCATTTGGAGCAGCAATTTCATTTATTTAAGATTTATTTATTTGAAGGCAGAGTTAGATCATGAATGAGAGAATGAGAATGTCTCTTCCAACTGGTGGTTCATTCCCAAATGGCTGCAATGGAGCCGGGCCAGGCTGAAGTCGGGAGCCTGGAACTCCATCTGGTCTCCCACATTGGGTGGCAGGGCCCTCAAGCACTTCCACTGTCTTTGGCTGTTTTCCCAGGAGCATCAGCAGGGAGCTGATCAGAAATGGAGCAGCCAGGACTTGAACTGGCCACTCACACTGTGGGGCTGGTGCAGCAGGTGGTGGCTTCCCAGCCATGTCACAATGCTGGCTGAAGCAAACCTCAGTTATTAGTGAAGAAGAGCCTGGAGTCTAGTATTCAATGGATTTGCTTCTCTTGTAGGATTTAAAGTAGTTCCAAATGACTGAACACATGGACTTCATAGGTACCATAATCCTCTTGTCTTTCTGCAGCCAACAGAAACTGCTGATCATTCACTGAGAGAGTGCAGCTGGACAGGCACAGGACGGTGAGATTTTCTTCTATCGTAGACTCGAGTGGTCTGCTTGTTCAGATGCCTACTTAGATGTTACCATTTTTTGTCTTTAATTTTTGTCTCTAGAAGTTACTTCAGCGCATGAGTATTCTTCAGATTTGCAAGAATCGCAGTAGTTAATAATCAGACTCCTGAAGCAAGTGACAAAACGAGGTAAGTGGCGTTCAATGCTGATGAACCACAGGGAGCATAGCTGACACGAGCCTACAGGCCCTCAATGGAGGTTTTCTCCCACTCCTGCATGTTGTCACCCCCCACTTAAGGAGAGAGCACTGTGTTTTCTGAACACTTTCTAGGTTTATTTATTTGAAAGGCAGAGTGACAGGCAGAGATGTTTCATTCCCACTGGTTTCACTCCCCAAATGGCCACGATAGCCAGGGTTGGGCCAGGCTGAAGTCAGGAGTCAGACACCATCTGGGTTTCCCACGTGGTTATCAGGGGCCCAAGCACGTGGACCATCTTCTGCTTTCCAAGGTGCATTATCAGGGTGCTGGATCAGAAGTGGAGCAGCCAGGACTCGAACCAGCATTCAGATATGGCATGCCGGCATTGCAAGTGATTGCTTAGCCCGCTGTGCCACAACACCGGCCCCTGGAGAGCACTTCGGAGTAGTGTGGGCGAGTTCTGCTGATCCATGGCCCCATAATCAATATATCCCAGGGTACCTTTGGCAGTAAAATGCTGAATTTGAGATCAAAGGACACAAGATCAGTGTGAAAACCTCACTTTCCTTTCTGTATGCCAATAGCAATTTGATATTTAAATAAAATCTACACCATTTACAATAGTGTTAACAGCATAACAGCGTTCTTGGATTAATCTCATGGATTTGTTAGCCTACACAAACACATTGAAAGCCACAGCATTGCTGAGGGATGTTAAAATATAAACAGACAGCTGTGCTCTTGTGATACAAGACTTACAAGATTGGTTCAGGTTCCTCCAGAACTGACCTGTGGGTTCAGCATAACCCCTGACTCAAATCCTCAATTTTTTTTGTAAAGATTTATTTATTTGAAAGTCAGAGTCACACAGAGAAGAGAGAGAGAGAGGTCTTCCATCTGCCGGCCCACTCCCCAGTTGGCTACAATGGCCGGAGCTGTGCCAATCAGGAGCTTCCTCCAGGCTTCCCACATGGGTGCAGGGGCCCAAGGACCTGGCTATCTTCTGCTTTTCCAGGCCCACAGCAGAGAGCTAGGTCAGAAGAGTAGCAGCTGGGATTAGAACCAGCACCCATATGGGATGCCGGTGCTTCAGGCCAGGGCGTTAACCGCTGCACCACAGTCCGGCCCCCTCAAATGCTTTGTTTTTTTAATGAAACTGATGAGCAAGCATTGTGGCATGGGGGTTAAGCTGCCGCCGCCTGTGATGCTGGCATCCATAGGGGCACAGGTTTGAGTCCCCACAGCTCCACTAACTAACCAGCTCCCTGCTAACGGCTTGGGAAAGCAATGGAAGATGGCCCAAGTCCTTGGGCTCCTGTACCCACGTGTGAGACCTGGAAGAAGTTCCTGGCTCAGCCTTGACCATTGAAGCCATTTGGGGAGTGAACAAGTGGATGGAAGACCTCTCTCTGTTTCTTCCTCTTCAATGTAACTCTGCCAGGTTTTCCAGATTTTTTTATTTGAAAGTCAAACTATTTCTAAACTTCTTGTGGAAAATTAAAGGACCTTTTAATAGTCAATTTTAAAAAAGATTTAAGAGGGCAGAGTTCTAGACAGAGGGAGAGACAGAGAGGTCTTCCATCAGCTGGTTCACCCCACAGATGGCCGCAGTAAGTCAGAGCTGGGTGGATCCCAGGAGCCAGGAGCTTCTTCTGGATCTCCCACATGGGTGGTAGGAGCCCAAGGACTTGGGCTATTGTCCACTGCTTTCTCGGCTTATTAGGGAGCTGGATCGGAAGTGGAACATCCAAGACTTGAACCGGCACCCGTATGGGATGCCAGCACTGCAGGCGGAGTCGGGGCCTACTATGCCACGCGCCACCCCAAGTGCTAGGGGGCATTCTCCACTATTTTTCCTAGGTCATCAGCAGGGAGCTGGGTAGGAAGTGGAGTAGCCCATATGGAATGCCAGCATTGCAGGTGGTGGCTTTACCTGCTACGCCACAGTGCCAGTCCCATCCCTTTCTTACTGTGTGCAGAGCAGGCAGAAGAATCTACCAACCAGGACACCTGTGACCCACATCAGAGTGCCTCCACGTGATGTCCATCTGGGTCTGACTGCAGCTTCCTGCTAATGGAGGCTATGGTGCTACCTCAAGTCATTGGGTCCCTGCACCCACGTGGGAGCTGTTGCAGGCATTTAGGAAGTGAACCAGTGGATGGGAGTTCATTCCCTCTACCTCTCAGGAAAAAAATTCTTTTAAGATCACTGTTAGGCCGGCACCGTGGCTCACTAGGCTAATCTGCCTTGTGGCGCTGGCACCTGGGTTCTAGTCCTGGTCGGGGCGCCGGATTCTGTCCCGGCTGCCCCTCTTCCAGGCCAGCTCTCTGCTGTGGCCCGGGAGTGCAGTGGAGGATGGCCCAAGTGCTTGGGCCCTGCACCCCATGGAGACCAGGATAAGTACCTGGCTCCTGCCATCGGATCAGCGCAGTGCGCCGGGCCGCAACGCAACCGGCCACAGCGGCCATTGGAGGGTGAACCAACGGCAAAGGAAGACCTTTCTCTCTGTCTCTCTCTCTCACTGTCCACTCTGCCTGTCAAAAAAAAATCACTGTTAGAGTGAAAAGATAGGCCTCACCTTTGCAGAAACATTTGAAAAGCATATATTTGATAAAGGGCTTATATCTGAAATATATTAAGAACTCTCAAAAAAAATTTTTTTTTGACAGGCAGAGTGGACAGTGAGAGAGAGAGAGAGAAAGGTCTTCCTTTGCTGTTGGTTTACCCTCCAATGGCTGCCATGGCCGGCGCGCTGCGGCCAGCGCACCGCGCTGATCCAAAGGCAGGAGCCAGGTACTTATCCTGGTCTCCCATGGGGTGCAGGGCCCTTGGGCCATCCTCCACTGCACTCCCGGGCCACAGCAGAGAGCTGGCCTGGAAGAGGGGCAACCGGGACAGAATCCGGTGCCCCGACCAGTACTAGAACCTGGTGTGCCGGCGCCGCTAGGCGGAGGATTAGCCTAGTGAGCCGCGGCGCCAGCGAGTGAACTCTCAACATTTGATAAGGTAAAACCAAAGGAAAGTATTAGCAAAATATTTAGAGTTCCTTCACAAAGGAAGATACAGAGGGCAGATAAACATATGAAAAATTACTTAATATCATTAGTTATCCAGGAAATTTAAATAAAAACTGTAATTAGATGCACTAAACATGTTAGAATGGCTACAATTAGGTTGTGCCACCTACTGGTGAGAAATATAGAGCAACTGGAACTTAGATATTTCTAGTAGTTTCTTAAAATGTTAAATATATACCACCCCCCTGACCTACTAAGCTATTCTATATTTCCCAAGAGAAATGTCAGTGTATGTCCACACATTGGAATGCACATGAATGTTTATAGCAACTTTATTTGTAGCAGTGCCAAACTGGAACCAACCCAAATATCCACCAATAGAT